ACAGTTTCAAAAAATCATGAGACGTGTCCCTAATTTTTCTGAAGTGTGATGAGAGTACAAAAAAATTAACAGTATCTGATTAATACTACCAAATCGAAACACAACAATAGGATCGATCGAATGTCATCAGATGTTGCAACCTTGAAATTCGGGCTGCTCCGGAACCGAAAATCAGTTTCAAGTCAGAATTTGGCAGTAATCGATTATTTTGCTATTATCTTCGCAATTGATTATTAAAATATTCTGGTGCTCATAATCATTAATCAATTAATCGTTACTAGAATAAATCATGATTGTATAAAATAAAAATTTTCCACACCAATTGCAAGAGATAAAAACTGGATAAAAAGTTTTCTTTTTTAGTAACTTTAATATTTACTATCTTTTTAGTAACTAAATAATAAATAATACGGCGACATTTTTTAACCTTTTTAATCTCTCTAATATTTTAAATTTAAACCACTCATTTTCTCGATGCGTGCCTAAAATCCGAATAATAATTAATAACATATATTATATAATACACTCTCTCTCTAATTCCGATTAAATCTATTCAAAAATAATACATATTAGATAACATATTAATTTCGATTGAATCTATTCAAAATTATTATTAACTACCGTAATATCAAATTTGTTCAGTGAATCATGGTCGAAGCAGGTTAATTATTACACGATTACACAAGTTATTCATTAATCGCAATCACTTCGTTACTTGGTAATCGTAATTATTAATCCTGGAAATGATTTCACGTTGGTCATAATCGTTAATCAGATTACTTTTTGCCCGACTCTGTATCGAGCCCGGCAAATAAATCCCGTCGTTCGAGTCCATTAGTCCGGTAACAAAGGCAGCTCGGGAACAAACAGTCCTCAACATTTCATTCAGTGGCGATTATTATCGTTGACCGGGCAAGTAGTAAAGTAAATGGAATCCCGTACATAGATTCGAGGCACGTTACCGAACACGTGCTCAGGTGCATCACTAACGTGCAGGCAACCGTAATATAAAGTGATATGTGTGTGAAGCATACATCTGTACGCGTATGTATATTTGTGGCTGCGTACACGTATACGTACATATCGCGATATGTACGTGTAGATATACGTGTAGAGAAGCTTCTCGACGATGGACACGTTATCGCCGCTGCCGCCGGAGAACCATGATCGATCCTATCACCTATCAAACTCCATTAACTCGTTCGTTCACCTGCTACCACCTGTATACCTGTGCTCCCAGATGTCAGGCTCATTGCGTTTACAACGCGAGAGTTAATTTCATAGTGGACAATTAAGAAGACGCGTCGAGCTGGCTAGAGCGTAGAATGATCGAATGACTCTGCGACTCTGGCGTTACGCAGCGAATTGACCTCATCGACCCGAACAAACAGAACTATATTTCAAGTTAGTGCGCAGGTGATGCACCGTGATTTTGATGCATTGCGAATCTGATACATGGCGAATCTGATACACGCTGATTCTGGTGCACTCTTAGCGCGACGCGGGGCTATTTATTCGACCTGATTAAGGCAGGAGAAACACACTCGTTCTACCGAATTTTCGAAGGAGAACTATAGCTATTCGATCTGATTTTTGTGGCGGGAAATATTTAGTCAGTTCGGTTTTTAAAGGAGGGAATTATTCACACATTTGACATGGTTTATTCTCGAAGGAGAACTATAGTTATTCGATCCGATTTTTGCGGCGGGAAATATTTAGTCAGTTCGGTTTTTAAAGGAGGGAATTATTTATATTCGACATGGTTACTAAAGGAGAAGAATATTTATACAGTTTAATTTTGAATGGAGAATATTTATTCGGTATAATCCTGGATGGAGAAAAATATTAATTTTGTCTAATTTTTAATGGAGAAAAATATTTATTCAGTCCAATTTTTAAAGGAGGGAAGAAATGCATAGATTTTATAACAAAATTACAGAGTAAAGTATGCATTTCATAGTTAATGACATGAAATGACATATTTCATTTGACACTTAATGACATATTTCATATTTAATGAAATATATATTTGGAGTTAACGTTTGAACGCTTTTAGTCGTGCATGTAATTCTAAAATTCGTCAATTCTAGTTGATAAAAAATTAACTAAGCACATTTTCATGACAAAAATTGTGCCAAGTTATAGGTAGTAGTTTGCTACAACAAAAATGTGTCAATTAATACCGTGTTAAGTCAACAATCGTGACATTTTAATGTACTTACTAATCAATGAAACTCTTTAATCATTCAAAATTTTATGCATGTACTGCTTGTGCATATTTAAATAAACAATTCGATCACACTAGCAGAGAGATGCCTGAAGATATTATTCGTCGAAATAATACGTCGAGAAGCGTATTATCGCATATTAAGCAGCTTATTCTTCTTGCAAAGAGCTAAATTATTCTTCAAGAAATTACGGCTACGCAAATGCACTTTATTTCCGCGTCTATTTATTACGAGATAACTGGAAGAATCGTAAATTAATTTCCCGTTTATTCGTCGGAATTTTAACGACGAGCGTCTCCAGGCGAAACAAAACGAAACGAGATCATCCCGGGACGAACGTTGCCGGGAATTCGGAAGAAGAACCCTACGAACCGGGATGTCCTTAAATAATGATATTTTATTACTTCGGGCACGTATTTGCGCGGAGTTATTTGCCATTCTGTGGACCAATGGTAAACTCTGAATGACTTTTAAAGCGAGTTTCGCAAACAAGTTGAAAGTGCTCCGGTAACTGTGAAGTAGTACTTTTCGAAACACTTAATTGCGATGAATTTTCAATTTTCCTTCGAACTTTCGTCGCCCGGAGAGCCTCCTGTTGAAATATTTAGAATTAGTGTTAATGCTGTCAGCTAATGCTAACACAATTTTGTCCTGCAATATGTATGGACATCCTGTGTGCCTTCGTGAAACATACGCTTCTGTTTGTTCTGCGCCCGTTTCACGTCTACATATTTCAGCTCGTGCATCAGTCTAATGGAAAAACGACGAATTTGTTAATTTAACGATTAATTAATTTAACGATGTTTGTTAATTCCTCAACCGAAAGAAAACGTTTCGTTCGGAATGTTCGTTCATACTTCGAATTATTGTTTTAGTTAAATTACGACGATAAGAATTTATAATAGAAATTTTAATATTAGAGGTTTAGTTTCTGGTAAATTATTATTATTGCATTCATACTTTAAATCTTTAATTATTATTAGTATTATTATGATCGATGATATTATATAGGCTGCATGAGAGCCCATTTGTACAAAAGAATATTAAAACTATATTTAAAACTATAACTGAAACTAAAAAACTTAATAGATTTATTAAAACTTAATAAACTTGATCTAAATATTTTATATATATATATATACTTTAAATGCCTGCGCATGTCACGGGCAAACTAACTTAACGAAGAACAATTTCAAATCTTATAAATTTTATTACAATCGAAACAATGTTTCGTTTTTTATGCATACACAAGAACTTGAGGTAATCGAACGACGTAAATTCTCTCATTATATGTAAGATAATTGAAATAATTAAAACTTTTCTCAGTATGTGTGAAAGGTTCAAGAATTAATTTGTAGTTGACGAATATAAGCGAAAATTATTATGAACGACGAAATTTAAAGAAGCTCAGAATTAAACGAAATATCATTTTTTGAACGATGCCCGTTAATTAACTGAAAACACGATGCCGGTCCGCATGAACGAACAAATTCGTCCGTTCGAAATTCTCGCCGCTGGATCGCGAAGGAAGTTTCCAGCGCGAAATTCCTCGGTTAAATCGATAGCGGTGGTAGGATAAACAAGTTTCGAAAAGAACGTGCGTCGACTTCTAATTGGTCAGTGTCGATACTGTCAACTCTGTATCTCCGATTAGCTGTGTTGTGCCCCGAAGAACACTCGGAGCGCCGTTCCCGCGAGCAACCGTGCGAAGATGCACGCCTCAGCAGTACGTGCAGTCTCGAGACCACTAGAGAACCGCTCGCGACGCGGTTTACAGAATTTCCTTATATGGTAATACCTACCTCAAATCGTACCCGACAAAAGCTAACCGTCCGACGTCGACTTACGAAAAACAGCTAACGATATGCAAGCACGAACAACGTCGGTGAATAAACTGGCTTCGAACGCGGTACCGTTTGATGCTATTTTTTTTTTTAATAGTAATTTTCGATTAAAAACGCTCGTATATAAAGTTTGTTGAGCAAATTCAATTATTAAATAATGAATAAGAAATTACGAATTAAATTAATGCTTCGCTCGCAAATAATAGTTAAATGTTTTATTTAATTGAAAAATCATTTAAGTAGTTCCACAAATAAGTTATTTATTATTTCTTATTTGCGAAGAAAATGTTATTCCTTATTACACAGCGATTGAAAATCATTACTTTCTGATTATGACGTGTGCTCGACGCGTTGTGCCGAATACATAATAAGTAAGAAGCGATTAAATGATAATTAATAAGAAACAATTGAAATTATAAATATAATATATTATAAATTATAAATATAAGTATTTATAAATAAGGAAAAAATTGTATTGTTTTAAATAATTTACTTAGACCTAGATAAATACTAAGCAATTATTATTGTCTTTTATTTAGATCTCCAAATAGCAAATGACTCTTTATTTAAATGAACATTTAATTAAAAATACAGAAAAAGAATTCTGTCTCCGGTTGACCGTAATGAAGGAAAAACTGAAAGTATGCAAATTCAATGCACAAACGACAATATGCGATCATCGCGACGTCTATAACGGAAATAAGCTGGAATTTCATATTGGGAGAGGTCCTCGTATTAGGCAACTTTAACCTGTAATCTGACCGAGCCGAGCAGCCATATTCGAAATGCAGTTCGGAACGAAAACTATTTGCATAGTCTCGCAGTTCTTCAAAGAGATACGATTATCTCCAAGGACGCAACACCGTTGCGTAGATTAGCATGAGAATTAGGAGGAGTACGGAAAAAGAGAGCATAAAAGCTTGAGTTGCACGTGGTTTTCGGGTTAAAGTCAGTTCGTAAATCGAAGAGGCGTAATCATCAGTCGAAAATGAGTCGATACGTTTTGCTGTTACTGTTGCTGGCTGCGTATGCCGAAAGTAAATATCGCCAAATTGTTTCAAACAAATTTCTTTGAAGGGAGAATTTCGGAGAATTCAATTTTCTTGATGTCTGATCGTAGGTGCCGCTGTCCCTATAATGAGACAGTGCCTTGGCGAGCATGAAGTCTGGATGCCATGCGGAGATTGGTGCAATCCTGGATGCTATTTGAGTCCGAAATTACAATGCAAAGTGGTAAGTGTTTGCAGTGTTTTACACCTTAAACGGCCCAGCAATTTTTTCACTCGAAAGTTAATCCACGGCCCCAGCAATTACCTTATTTCTACCGACTGAAGTTCAACCATTTTTCCCGAAAATGCCAAATTTCGGGTTGCCGTGAATTTCGGAGACTATCAAAAGTTACCTTTGAATAAGTTAGAGCAATTTTTTAAAATTTTCTTTATGAAACGAGAGGGACAAGAGAAATAATTAAAACAACACCTTGAAGAAGCTAGAATTATCCTGGAACTTTCATTGAGGAAGTTCTCGTGACAGGAATTTGAAAAATAATGAAAAGTCTTTCTAGGACATAGAGCTATCTTAGAACGTTCGATGAGCAAGATTTCACGAGAGGAGCACGAGAAACAGGGAAGGGACTGATGAGAGAAGCATGAGACATAATGAATAAACTTGTCGGGACAAGGTAGAACTATCTTAGAACGTACATTGAGAAAGTGCTGATGAGAGGAGCATGAGACAAAATGAATAAGCTTGCTAGAAGATAGAACTATCTTGAAACGTTCATTGAGCAAGATCTCATGAGAGGAACACGAGGAACAGTTAAAAAGCACTTTGGCACAAGTTGGGATTATTTTAAAATGTTCATTCAGGAAGGTCCTGTGAGAGGAACACGTGGACTAATCGAAGACCTTCTTGGATCAAATGAAAGCAATTTTAGAAGGTCCATTGACGAAGATCCAACGGGAAGCGCCCAACATAAATTCTTGTTGCGAGCGAAGATGACAAGTGGTTAACAAACACCGTAATTAAATCTTCTGCATAAAGTTGATATTGATATTCAAATTATTTTATACAATTATTACTTTATATTTGATACAAACAATAAGGTCAAGAATTACGTTTGGTATTTCTTGAAATTAAGAGCTACTTTGTAAAGTATTCAGAAATTATTGTTAACTGATTATAAACATTCGTGTTACTTCAATGGTACCTAATCACTTAAAGATCAAGAATAACTTTCAACATTGTTAAGATTGAGAAATACTTGCCAAATTACTCAGTACTTATTACAAACTGACTATAAATATTCATTGTTCATCGATGCAAAACTGTGCAGGCAAATGAAGTATTCTTAGAGATGGCACCTGATCAATTGACGATCAGGAATAACTTGCTATAATCGTAATATTAAGAGCCACTTGCTGAACTTAGTCAGAGCTTATTACTAGACAGCGGATTTTATGCATTAATAGCACGAATGAGTAGACCAAATGCAAAATAATAAATACATTTGAAGAACTTAAAAATGCTGCTGGATTAATTTCAATGTGTACGTAGCTCCTGGAGCTCGCGATAACTGCGGACGATTTTTATTTCGCGTAAAAATCCGCTGTCTACTTATCGCTGATTATAAACATCCATCGTTCTCTCATCGATACAAAATTTGTGAACGAAATGCAATAAATTCTCTGAAATTGTTTCTCGGTTTGTATATAGAAATGGACAATTTTGGGAAGGAGATACGATTATTCGAGCCTCGCGTCTCGTTTTATTGTCGCCGATTGTCAACAACTATAAAATATACGAATAATCGTATCTCCTCTTCCCAAATTGTTCATTTTTGTGTACAATCCGAGCGTTAATTAGGGAGAATTTAGTGTACTTGCTAGGATAACGAAGAAACTTTTTAATATCTTGATACAACATGAACTCTGATCAGTTCTAACTGAATCTTTTGTTTCTGTTCCGATCGGAACACATGATGCTAGAATATTCTTGCAAAAGGTTCGGATGTTCCATAATATTTTTCGATCCGAGCTTACGACTATTTGCGAGATGTTCGTGTACTTGTTGCTGAGGCTGTGCGGATTGATTCGTTCGTCAATTAATTCAATCACAATCTGATTCAGGTATGCTACCCGGAGTTAGATCACGGAAGCTGCGGCTGCGTGCACGGATACAGAAGAGACGCCGATGGCAGATGCATCAAGTGTTAACTGAGACAAGCTGCGAAGCGTACGAAAAGCGAGAAGAGAGAGAGAGAGAGAGAGAGAGCAATGTACTTCTGTAAGAAGCAATAAAAATTGTAATTCTAGCGTGTATTGCTAATTTTAACTAGGAAGTCGAGTGCAGACTCGTCGATAGCCATTCGCTGGCAATTTGATGGCCGCCCGATAAAAGGCGTAGTTTATTTCCGCGCTCGCTGCAGTTACCATGATCTTGCGATGGATTATCAATAACGTATCGCTCGTATTTGCATGGAGAACGCGGACTATGAAAGTCGGAATCGCGTGGGTTAAGGCAACAAAGACCAAGTTGATGCAACAGGAGGTGCATTCGAGTGTTCAAAATGTTCGGATAGCTCGTTGCGAGGATGCTGTTAGCCGTCCAGTGTAAATATCTTTCGGTTTATGATGATCTTTCGCAACTGGTTGCTTTTAGTGCCGACTAAAAGTGTTGTGTGTATGTGAGCGAAAAATACCAAACCTGATTGATGAAGTCTCGTCAAATTTCAGAGAGAAAAATTATACAAATTTCCTAGAAAATTAAAAAGGGAACGCAAAGTAAGGGATAAAACTGTTAGTTGTTACAAATATTAAGTAAACAACATTTTCTTAAGTATAGGGATCAAGGATGCATCGTTGTTCGGCAATATAAGGGTCAAGCTGCTCACTAAATCACCTTTCTGTATGTGCATATTTATGCAACAGCAACATTTTCCGAACCGATTCGAGGAAACAATAGATAAATTGAAATTTCTGTCCGTTTTTTAATAACCTCGATTTAACTACGTTAAATTCTGCTGTTTCGGATTTTATCTGGTTACTTTCGTCGTGAGTGCATTCAATGCACTTTTTACTGTTCCGAATTTTACGTAATTATTTTTGTCACGGGTGCATCGAGAATCTGCAGTCTGTACATTATCTATCGATGCACTGCGGATTATTATGCAAATTTCTACTTGTCAGTGAACAAACATGTTCGAACGTGGTGACATTCGACGCACCGCTATTTCTCTGTAACGTTCGCAATCTATGCATTTTAGTGCAACGTGAACATTTTCTGAATCATTTCGGAGAAACAATAGATGAACACAAATATTTTTCTTTAATAATTGCTGCACTATGTCAAAGGTTTTTGATTTTTCTATTGTCTTGGATTTTTCATTGTTATTTTTGTCACGAGTGCGTTGCATATGCAGGATGCGCTTTATCTGTCAGTAAACTGCAGATTATCATGCAAATTTCTATTTGTCAGCGAACGAACTCGTTCGGACCTGATGACTTTTAACGCGCAGATATTTCCATAACACGTGTATTATTTGCGCATTATTGCACAACATCGACATTTTTCGAATCGATTGGAACAAACGACAGCTAAATAGAATTGCCTTTTTTTATTTTTAAATTCTTTCGGTCCGTCCACAGTTTTGTATTTTCCGTCTTTATTTTTATCACGAGTGCATTAAATCTGCAGTCTGCGCATTATTTATCAGCATTCTGAGCATTTACCTATGTAAATAGACATTTTTTCATTCTTCCGATCTATCTGCTGTTCGAAATTTTACGTACTCATTTTCGTCGCAAGTGCATTCAATTTTCAGTCTGTTCATTACGATGACTTCCGACGCATGTAGTCGCCGACGAAAGGATTCAGACATATTGAAACCGTTATAATTTCACGAAGAGGAATCGTACTGCAATAAACCTGCACTCATTTTAAAGCTTGGAGCCTCTACTTTCGGAGTGCATCGTTCATTTTCTTGTAAGATTTTTTTGTGCGACATGGCGGATGAGAGACCGAAGCCCCTTTTTACATTGAAAATATTGCAGACTGAAATGTCTCTATTAAAAGCATTGTTCGATTATTTTCGTAATTAAATCCATTATGGGGTTGGAAGACAAAGCTTACTTTTTGCAAACCCGCAGGTCATTGTGCGACCTCAACATTCTCTGAATCAGTTAGTGGAAACGAGAGACACATGTGGGAATCTCTTTCTTCCATTAATAATTTTAAAGTAGCACATAAGAACCATTAAATTTACTAAAAATGCAGTAAAGTTTTGAGACTTTACATTTCGCGCTATTTTTAACGTTTCTATAATCTGTCAATCGAAAATTGCATTCGAATATACACAAATAGAATGTATAAACGTTATTTGAACGTTAACGTCGCAACCGTGTGTGAAAATTTAAATATCCTTTGTAGGATCATATTTACCCGAACAGTATCGAGAGATCGATAATATCGCAGTGGGCATCGATTTTTAATCCTGGAAAGAGAATCCGAGTGCAATATTATATTGGCAAAGGGAGCTTACGACCAGCATGCTTTCAAAACTCAATATTTTTCATTTCCTTATGGTTTTATATTTAATATGCTGGACCGATGGGAATCGTACTAAAATATAAACATTGCATTTCATTAGAGCTTCGTGACAGTTCTATTTCACCATATTTCATTGATGTTCCAATTTATCGTAAAACCTGCAGAGTTTCTATAGCATACTTAGACACTCAGTTTACTTACGGGTCGAACAATCGTACAATTCATCATTAAAATATGTGGCACAGCTGGAATTTAATGTGTATATTACCCAGTCAATAATTTATATAATTATTGTTAATATCAATTTATATCATTATTATCAATATTAATGTATATAATTATTATTAATATAAATTTATATCATTATTATTAATATTACTTTATATAGTTATTATTAATATTTATTTAGATAATTATTATTAATATTAATTTATATGATTACTATTAATATCAATTTATATCATTATTATTAATATTAATTTAGATGATTACTATTAATATCAATTTATATCATTATTATTAATATTAATTTAGATGATTACTATTAATATCAATTTATATCATTAATATTAATATTAATTTAGATGATTACTATTAATATCAATTTATGTCATTATTATTAATAGTAATTTAGATGATTACTATTAATATCAATTTATATCATTATTATTAATATTAATTTAGATGATTACTATTAATATCAATTTATATCATTATTATTAATATTAATTAATGTAATGATTATTAATATCACGATTTCACAGAGTCAGTAT